TAGAAGGAGCCATAACTAGGAATCAGAAGACCAGAGTTAGAATCCCAACCACTCCTTACTGCCTGGATTGCCCTAGCCAGGTTACTTAGCTTCTCAAAATCCAGGTTGCCTCGTGTCTGTAACGTGCAGATATGTCAACTCTGCCTACCCATGCCAGTTGTGGCAATGACCAAATAAGATAATGGGTGTGAAAGGACTTGGTGACTTTGTGAATAACATGCACATTTAGGGAGAATAGTGTTCTTCTTTGGACACAGCTTTAATCTAAATGAAGGTGGAACTCACAAACTTGAACTTTTCCAGATACATGTTTTAATAAGATTGGAAAAACAAATTATATAAAAATTAATTAAAATTCCATTATGATTATATCTATGCAGCCTTGGAAACCCAAGTCAACTCAACAAGTGTTTATTGTCAGGCTTTATTGTTTATTTTTAGGATTCATCCAAATGATGCACATTGAAAGTTTCTCATTCCTATAAGCTGAATTGATAAGGATATCCGTTTTGGAGTTTCAGCACATAGTAATTAGACCCAAATGATTTCTGATATTATGTGGGTTACTGATATTTATAAAGGAATTTATAGTTCGTAAAATGTCTTTGTCTGCATTTTCATATAATCTTCATAATTACCCTGTAACGTGAAGTGCTTTTATTTTCTGTGTTATTCCCAATAACTAGTAGTTGTACCCTTCTCGAGATCACTTAGTTACTAGGTGGTGGAATCAAGGTTAAAAACCTGGATTTCTCATCCCAAACCTCATCACATTTCTTGAGAAGCCAAGGAATTATTTTAGATGTGCTTGGATTCAAACCAGGTATTTCCACTTTGAACTAAACCTTGAAGCCTCTGTTTTCTGTGAACTAAGAATGCATATTACCCTGGGCTTTTTCTTCCACGTCTGCTCCAGTCTGATGCCTTTATTCTCTAGCCTCTTCCCCATTGCCCATATGTCTGTCTGTCTGTCTCTCTCTCTATCTCTCTCTCTCTCTGTCTCTGTCTCTGTCTCTGTCTCTCTCTCTCTCTCACACACACACACACGCACACAGACACACACAATCTCTCTCTCTCTCTCATACTCTCACTCTCCAGAGCATACATTTTCACACTGTTGCCTAAGAACTATAAGCTGTCCAGGACTATTATTAACTGACCTTTGTGGATGAGCAACTTCTGAGTAACATGCCTATTTTAACTATATTTTGGGTAGGTCTTTGGTTCCTCAGAAATCTCTGGTACCCATTTACTTGCTATGTTTTTAATTGCGGGTAGGCTCTCATGATTTGAATTTCCAGAGCTTGGCTTAGCATTGATTTGAGACCAAACCAGCTAGTTCCAAGTGTCCCAGGGTATTAACTCAATTTTACTCGTCCTGTGATATATTTTGTACTTTCTCATCATTGCACTCAGAATGTGAGGTAGAAAGGCCTTCTGTTGCGAAGTCATCTATGTCTAGGTCCAATTTAATACCTGCCTCAAAACACAGGAAACTGAGGCTTCTATGTATCTTTGTGTACATTTACAAGTGCTCATGCTGTATTTCGAGCAAGCAGGGAAAATAAGAAATATTCTACTGTTTGATGTTTTGAAATACTGACTGGATAAAGATTACACATGACAAGTTATTTATAGCTTTATTTATACATTGTGGATTCTCTGTTGGAATCATAGAAGGGAAGGAGATATGATAATTGCTTTGTGTAGTTCACAGAATGAAATCGCAAACTGAGATGTTTCGCATCTAGTTTATACTGTAACCATTTCTAGGAAACCATATTTAAACAGCAGTGGTTATCATGAAGTATACAGCATGTCAACTGTGTCCCAATTCACATCAGTAAAATCCTTCCACCACTTTATTCCCTATAACCTAACTTCCATCAGATAATACTAAATAAACTATGTCGAGTGCACGTATTAATATTATATCAAATGTATAAAACGGCTTGCTGGCTGCATTTTCAGTCATGTTTATCTGTGGTCATGCAGGTTATAACTCTGAATTTTTATTAGGAAAACTAAATTGAGAATTTATAATATTCCTGATTTAGTTTCACCAGCTGTGCCACAGCCAAGGAAAATAACTCTAGAGGGTAAAAATCTAACAGTGAATAAGAAAGCAGTAGACAAATTGCTTTTGCTTCATGCCTACCTGCTTTGCATCTGCTGCTATAAGGTTTAGGGTCAACGATAGTAATTAGTAGTCTCCTAACTTGTGTAGCATCCTTCAGTGAATTGTGATGTGTATTTTTATAGGTTGTCTCATATAAAATAAGAATAATGATTATTAATTGATATGTAATCTTGGGAGTGTTGAAAGTGATTCTTTAATATGTGAATTGCCTTTTTTCCCCCTCTATCTTTTATTCATTTATTTGTAAATCTGACAAAATTCATTGAGCTTCAAATGTACCAGACATTGTACTAGTAACAGACCTGATTCTTGTCCTCATGGAGATCAAAGTCTAACAGCAGAATGTGTTATTAAACATTTCAGAGTAGTTAGGACTTTTTTTTTCAAGCTTCACTGAGATATAATTGACATGTAACAAGTAAATGTAGGCATGTGATATGATGATTTGATTTATGTATGTATCGTAAAACGATTACCACAATATGGTTAGTTAACACGTCCATCACCTCACATAATTATTACCTTTTTTTTTTTTTTGGTGAGAACTTTTAAGATCTACTCTCCCAGCAACTTTCAAGTATACAACACAGCATTGTTAACTACAGTCACCATGCTGTACGTTGGATACCCAGAGTTTTAAAATGTGAATATTGAAAATGACTCTAACATCAAAAATATTTTATAATTTTGCCGTCATTGAAACAATCACAATGAAGTAACTGTATAAATTATTCTATTTAGAAATTAGGCAATTTGAGACCAATGAAAAACAACCTAACAGTTCATATTTAGCATACTGGATTGGCAGAGGAATAGGGTAAAAAAATGCAAGAAATCGCCTGTAAATAGTTAATTTAGTTTTTGAATTGTTAGTGAAGAGCACTGTCTGGAATCTCTCATTATGAACATTTCTATTTCGTTTCTGCTACAGGATGGTAGATAATAAGGAGTTGCTGATGAAACTTGTGTGCGTACTTGCGGGACTTTACAGATTAAACTGATTCCTGAATGTAAATAGAGAGCCCTTAGGAATATTGCTTTTTTATAATAACATTCTAATGGTCAGTCTGGGTCTTAGGTATTTTATTTGTGGTAGTGTGACAGTTTGATTTGGTCACCAGAGAGTAAGCCCCACCTGGGCTGTGACCATGTTTTATTCACCATTGCACACTGCCTACCCTATAGACTAAAAAAGGTTTCTTGAAGGAATATGGAGATATTTCATCCATGTAGAGATTTGAGTTACCTACTCACAGAAGAAAAATAACAACTACTTCCATGCTAATAGAAAATGCTTTACCAGTCAGAAATAGTCTCATAGTCTAGTAAGGAAACCTCACATCATTGAGAAGCAATAATACTGGTCAGTAATAGCAATGACTATTGACTAATGACTATATATACCTTCTATAATATTAATTCTCAACCACTATTATATGAGCTACATTTTATAAATGAGGAAACTGAAGATTTTGAATATTAAGTGACTTGTTCGTGGCCACAGAGCTATTATTAAGTGGTGAAGCTAGGATACATTTGCAACAGTTAAATAATACAAGCCAACACATGTTGGGCACTTAATTATGCATTAGCCACTATGCTAAATGTTTTACATTTAACTTCACTGTGATACTATGAGGGAAGCATTATTATATTTCCATTTTACAGATGTGGAAAATGGGGCATAGAGAAGTTAAGTAATTTCTCAAGGGCACGTGGCCAGTTAGTGGTAGAGCTAGAGGGCCCTTCCTCTTACACTGTCCCACCTACAGTTAGAATTGAGAAAAGGGCAGCATTGCTGTATGACCCTTGGAACATTCATAGTTTAAGAATATTATTTTCAATATTATTATTATCTTTAAGTATTTTCTGCTCTACTCTGCTGATTACAAAAATGCTTCGGTTTTTAAAGATAATTGTAAAATACACCTCTGAGTGGAAACTCCAGTTTGCTTTTTGGGTAATAAGTGAATCAATCAGAGGAATATTCAATCTTGTTTTATTGCAATTTTTATACAATTTCATTAACAAGTATGGATTGACTAGTTCATTTTAATTTAGTTTAATTTTTGCTATTATCAGTGTTACATGTTTTCTTTTAAGCTTTAAGAATAGTGGTTTTTTATTTTTTTTTTTCCTGTTTGTAGGCACCCTGGGAGAAACCATCTGTATAGTTCAAATGGCTTCTCTTTGGCCAAGGCAGAGCAGAATTAGATTTTAATAAATCGTAATTTTATATTATGATTGCTTACTGGAGTGCCATTTATAGAGTATGGCTTCCATACATTGAATTTGACATAGTTCCTTGTTTATTAAAAGGGCTATTTTTTTCCCTTAAAGTTGTATTTTGAATTATGCTAGAGGTAATTTATGGCTACTTTGTGTATTTTTCCTCTGCCTGTCTGCATGTCCAGGAGGAAAACATTCTGACCTTGTAAATGGCAGTTTACAGTTGATTTTAAAAGAAATTTTAAGTTTTTGGAACTACCTGGAGATAAGTTTTTTTTTTTTCTAATTAGACGTTAAAGAACTAAACCTAAATAGTAAGTTTAGCTAATTCAATTCAGCAGCATTAGGTTTCTGAATGTAGAAGGCATTGTGTTTGGTGGTAGGAGAGATATCAAGATGACAAAAATTTGATACCTCTATCCTGAGGCTTGTAATTTGTTAGCTGACTCAAGCAAATACATAAATAAGTAAAATGCAAGGCAGGCAACAATGAGTACTGTGGTATGGGCATCAACAAAGTACAGTGAGAAATCAGGATAGAGAGATTAATCCTAACTGGGAGGATCTAGGAAGTTCTCATGGAGTAGGTAGGATTGAGTAGAGCTTAATTTATTGCTTTCATTCATTCTAGACTGTCTTCTGAAGATTGATGTCTATTTCCTTGAGCTCTTTAATTTTGTTGACAATTTGGATAAGCATGGCACAAATCCAGCAGGGAGGTCCAGATGAAAAAGAAAAGACAACAGCACTGAAAGGTACATACTTAATTTGCTTTTTCAGGATATTTTCATTATGCCTGATGAAGATACAGGAATATTTAGGTGACCTTACATTCATTTCAACTCTAAAATAAGAATATCAGTACTTAATCTATTTGTAATTATTTGTATCCCTCACAGCAGTTACCTCAGTACCTTGAGATGTAGTATATACTTAGTAAATAAATCATAGAATCATGTAAGTTTACAGCTTTAAGAATTCTTAATGCTTTTCTAATTCAGGGTCATGTATGTAATGGTAAAACTAACACTAGAGGTGTTTTGAGTCAAGACTAGTGTAACCCTTACCATATTTTTGTTGTTTGAAATGTCGTACTAGGTTAGGATAATAACCTGCCTAATCCTGTATTCTGTGTTTGTGGTGTTGGCACTAGGGATATTTTATGAGAAGCCCTCCATAAGAAGGAATCTGCCTTAGACATTCTTTGGGAATTTGGGAGCTCTAGACTTAAAAAAATCTGTTATCTAAAATAATTTTACTCGTAAAAGAAGTTTCCATTGTTGAGCTATAAGGTTTTTTCATTATCATATATTTCAATCTATCTAGTGACTTGCCCAAGATCAGGTCATCTAAATAACTTGTTCAAGGTCTCACAATTTCTTTATTTGATGGTGGAAAACAAAAACCTTAAGGATTTTCCGAATGTTGAGATGCCAGCTCTGCCAGACGATAAGAGTCTCTTTTACTTGATTCATTGTAGAGCCTATCTAGTTTTCAAGATGCTTTGTAGGAGATGTCCCAGCTGAATATGTACCAGACTGTCTTGGCTATAGCCATTTCTCTGCATCCGTAGCTGCTGTCCTACCTTGCTGTGCCAGGCTGGAAAATAAAAATACTTAAAGAATCTCTCCTCCTACCTTCTTTTATCCCTTTTCATGAAAGCCTAAAGCACATGTAGGGTAAAGCAGACGGTTTCTTAGATAAATTTGTCTCACATTGTCCCTACTTCTAGACTTGATGAAGGGAGAGTGTACCTTACCCTTACCTCCAGAACTGGAAAATGGCTAATAACATTGCTTTCTCCCCACAAATATAAGAAGTGATGATGTCCTGGATTAGGGTGGTAGCAGAGAGGATGAAGAAGAATGGACAGACTTTTATATTTTGAAGGTGGAGGTGACATGATTTGCTGTCGAATTAGACATGAGATGTTAGAGAAGAAACTAAGATAGCTATGAAGGTCCTTGGCCTAAATAGCTCTAAGATAGGTGCTGTCACTTAGATTAAGAAAACTGTGAAAAGCAGGCTGTGGTGGTGGTAGTGGAAAGCAAGAGTTAGGTTTTAGACATATTAAACATTAAACTGAAATTCTATTTCAACATCAAGCTGGAGAAGTTGAGAGTGGAGTTCGGGAGAGCATTAGCATTAGAGATAAAAGTTTTGGGAATTGTTAGCATAGAGCTAGTATTTAAAGTTAGGGTTCTCATTGGGATCGCCAGGGATGTCACTATAGCCAGAAGAGAGAAAAGGACTGAAGATTGCACCCTGGTGCATCTCGACCTTTGAGTCAGGAAGATGAGAAAGAACCAGTATTAGAGGCTGAAAATGAATTTCTAGTAAGATAGGCTAAGAACTAGGAGCAAGAGGGAGATCTGAACACCTGGTGAAGAAAATGGGAGTAATTAATTTAGTCATGATTGTGAATCAGATCAGATGAGGACTGAGAATTTACTTTTGGATTTGAAAGTATGGAGGTTATTGGTGATCTTCACAAAGAGCTGATTTAGTGAGCTGATGGAAATGAAAGCCTTGTTGGAGAACTTCAGTAGAGGATGGGAAGAGAGGAATTTGAGACAGTTATAGACAGCTCTATAGAAAGTTTTACTGCATGTATGTATGCTGCTGGGAATAAACAGCACACTCAGAATAATGGTTAATTTAGAAATGAGGACAAGGAATGTTTGTGAGTTTCCATCTAGATAGTTTTTGTTGGGTTTCCACCTAGATAGCTTTTGTGCATCTTCAACCTTACTTGATAATGTGAAAATTTGATTTCTCGAGTTGTGTTTCCAATTTACACTTCCACAAGCAGTATATAAGAGTTCAGATGGATTTTCTGGATTTTAAAGGTAGTACAGTGGCGTTAAAAGAGTATGGATACAACTATCTGGATTCAAACTCAGATTTTCCCAGTTGCCATGAACAAATTGCTTACTGTCTTTGAATTTTTTTCTTCATTGGTACAATAGGAATAAGAATGCTTAGCACACATGAGCTTGTAATAATGATTAGTGAAGGAGTCAAATTGAAAATATTAGAAGGTAAAATGGCACATGAATAGCAAAGTGTATTTTATAACAAATTGACAAACTGAACAAAACATTATCCCTAAAATGGTGTTATGTATCAGTTTTTTCTTTGATGGATTGTGCTTTTGGTGTCATGTGTAAGCACTCTTTGCCTAGGCCTACTTTATGAAGATCTTCTCTTGTGTTTTCTTCTAAAAGTTTTACAGTTTTTAGATTTTACATTTAAGCTAATGATGCAGTTTGAGTTAATTTTTATATAAGGTATGAGATTTACGTCAAAGGTGGGTTTTTGGTTTTTTTTGCCTATTGATGTCCAGTTACACCAGCACTATTTGTGAAAAAGACTCTCTTTCCACCATTGAATTATGTCTTCGCCTTTATCTAAAATGAACTGGGCATATTTGGGTGGGCATGTTTTGGGGGTTCTCTATTTTGTTTCATGTATCTGTGTCTCCACAATCCATATTATCTTGATTACTGAACTAAATAAGTCTTAAAATTGACTAGAGTGATTCTATTCACTTCATTCTTATTCAGAATTGTTTGGCTATTCTATGTCCTTTGCCTTTCCATACCAATTTTAAAGTAAAGTTGTCTATATCTACAAAAAAAAATGCACTGAGATTTTGATAGAAATTACATTTAAACCTATAGATGAATGTGAGGAGAATTGACATCTTTACTATATTGAGGTTTCCGATTCATGAACATGGAATGTCTCTCATTTATTTAGATCTTTGTTTCCTTCATTGACACTTTGTAATTTTCATCACGTAAGTCTTGCATATTTCTTACTAGATTTATCTGTGTCATAATTTTCAGAGTGACTGTAAGTGGTGTGTTTTTAATTTCAGTTGTTACATGTTTATTGATAGTTCATGGAAATACGGTCAAGTTTTGTGTGTTGATGTCATATTCTTTAACTTTGCTAAAGTTACTTATTAGTTCCAAGAGATTTTGGGGGTAGATTCCTTGGGATTTTCTATGTAAACTATCATGCCATTTGCTAATTGAACATTTTTATTTCTTCCTTTCCAATCTATGTGCCTTTTATCTCCTCTTTTGATTTTTTGCACTGGCTAGGACTTTCAGTACTGTGTTGAAAAACTGTGTTGAAAAAGAATAATGAAAATGGACAGTGAATGGTGCCACTCCCATTTTTAACCCTTAATTTCTAGACCTGTGAATCATGGCTATGGGAGAAATAGCACTATATATTGGACACTGATTCAGAGTATATACAGCCTTCTGGAAAATCTTGTTCCAGCCCTGCAAGATCTGCCACCCAGCTGGCACTGTAACTGAGTCATCCAAAGGCCAGTCCACTGTTCTGTTAAACTGGCTGCCTCAAGATGATGGGAAACGTGGTAAGACCAGTGAATTGCAGGAGCATGGCCCCATTGCCACACTTACTTTGCTGTGATGTGTTTCTTGATCAGAAACAATGCTATGTGGAGTTCCACGATGACAGATAAGGCATTCTGTAAGTCTGTAGATAGTAGATTTGGCAGAAGCATTCAGTATACGGCAGGCAAATCTATATCTAGATAAAGTATCTATTCCAGTAAGAACAAAACACTGCCTTTTTGATGATGGAAGGGATCTAGTGTAATCAACCTGCCATCATGTACCTGGCTGATCACCCCAGAGAATTGTGCCATATTGGGGACTAAGTGTTGGTCTTTGCTACTGGCAGATTGGACGTTCAACTGTGGCTGTGTAGCCAAGTTGGCTTTCGTGTCTGAAAGTTCATATCTCTGAGCCCATGTATAACCTCCATCCCCGTCACCATGGCCACTTTGTTCTTGAGCTCACTGAGTGATGAAAGGGCTGACTGGGGAAAGAGGCTGACTGGTGTCCACAGAATGGACCATCCTATGCACTTGATCCTTAAAAATCTTTCTCTGTCGAGGTTACCTTTTAGTGAGCATTTACTTGGGACACAAATATCCTTCCACATATTTCACCCATTTAGAAAGGTCTATCCACATACCTCTTCTCCAGATTTCCTAGTCACCAGTTTTCCAGTCGTGTTCCTTCCAAATCCCTGACTATCCAGCCAAATCACTGGCCACAGCCCATGAATCATTATATCCATATCTCTTTCCAAGGAAACTGAACTGCCAAGTTCACTGCTCTCGTTACTGTCCACTGGGAGGATTTCCCCTCACCGCTGTCATTTAGGGGTGTCCTAAAAGGGAACTGTAACACTTCAGCTGTTCACTTTTGGGTGCTGTCTAAATATCATGCAGAACCATCCATAAACTAGACCCAGGTTTTCTCTTTTCTGTCAATTGATGAGGCCTTAGGTACATGCTGTTGGATAGAAGAAGGCAATGTAGCAGAAATAGAGACCATAGCCACTTGAGCCACTTTTTCATGTAACTTGCTTTTGTCCTCAGGGCCTGCTCAGTCCTGATCACATGCATACCACCTGCATTTGGTGATAAAGTACTGTTGTACACACCCAAATTTATGACTTGGTGGGTCAGTTAACACCCAATTCGTGGTGGTAAGCTAAGTTTTGTAGCCCAGTTTGTAGCCTGTGGTTAAGTGTTCAGTCTCTACTAAGGCCCTGTAGCAGTCCCTGAGGTATTTCTCAAGAGGAGAGTAGTTATCTGCCTTGGATAGCAAGGCTTTGCTCCAAAATCCTAAGAGCCTGTGCTGTGAAGGCAGGAAAAGACTGATGTCCTACCTTGAAGAGAGTCGTACAGAGAGTGGCAATTCTACTTACTCACCCTTTTTGTTCTGTTCAGGTCTTCGGTGAATTGGATGAGGTTCATCCATATTGGGGGTTGGGGGGCAATATGCTTTACTTGGTCTACAGTTTCAAATTTTAATCTTACCCAGAAACACCTTCACAGACACACACAGATTAATGTTTAACCAGATATCTGGGTACCCAGTCAAGTTGACACGTAAAATTAGCCATCACACCATTCATCTGTCTATGGAAACTTCACCAGCTTCCCGCCTTTTGGCTATTGTGAATAGTGCTGCTGTGCACGTGGGTGTACAAATATGAGTCTTTGCTTTCAGTTATTTTGGGTATCAGTGGTATTTTTCAGCCAGTTATTACATATGCTTAGTTGAAGTTTAGAATTCTAGTTGCTAAATCACTTTAATCACCAGAGGCGTATTTTAGAAAGAACAATTGTGTCACATCTGATGTATATTTACATTATAAGCATTCAGTTCTACTGTATTTTATAGGTAATTAAAGGGATTTTCAATGAAAATGTTTTTATTATACTTGATTTTTGCTTAATCCACTGGCTTTGGAACCCAATCTCTGTGTAAAATGGTGTGTAAATCATTGCTTTCCTTTACAAAGCAGAAAAATATTTCCTGACATTTCCTCTCTACATGTCTTCGCAATGCTAATAAAGTAAAAAAAAAATCTGTATCTGGTCCTCTAGTTGACAGAAGATTGAGAAATGCCTATTTGTTTAGTTGTTCATTTTATCATTCAAGGGAGCCTTTTGGTCAAAGCAAAAGCATATTTCTGTATTCAGAAGTTTATTCTTTTTATAAGGTAATGGGAAGGGGGGTAGACTGTTCGAGGGTTGATAGAGTGTATAGAATAAAAATATGGGGATTTTGAAAGAGTACTGAGTTAGGTATTGGGAAATACATTTATTTTATTAATCCCAATTTACTATCAAGTTACAATTTTGGACAAGCCATTTTACCTGAGCTTATTTCCTTGTCTCAGAGACAGTGAAGATGATAACATGTGCTGCTATTTTATAGAGCTGTGATGATCAAATGTGGTAAAGTATGTGAGAGCTTTAAAGTGACATATAAATGTTAGGTGTCCTTTATGATCTGAGTGGGTAAAAAGAGAAAATGGATATTAAACATAATACAGCTGTGTATATATTGGATGGTTTTTGTGTGTCTGATTAAAAGATTTCTACGTTTTGAACTGTGAAAGTTGACTGTGAAGTAAAGGAATTCAGTTCATTGGAAGGAGAGAAGTGAGCATCTTCAAACCAATTTTTGATATTAAAAATCTTCTATTTTACTGTTTTGCAAAGATTTACATGTTGTTCAGAATTTTCCTAATGAATCAGGAATATGTGAGCATGTATCTCTTTAGCCCAGTATGCATATTATGTTACTAGAGAACGTGCAAACCTTTTTTTTTTTTATGTTTGCATGTTGAAAATGGTATATTTTTGTGTGAGTTGAAGTTTATTTGAAGGTTGAAGAGTTTTAAACAACTTTTTTAAACAAGTTTTTTTGATATCTTTGTGTCTTACGGAGAGAGACTAGTGACTGGAGGTAGACAAACTACTTTTTTCTCTAGTATATTTTGATGATCCCTACAAATGGATTTGTTATATCTCTGTGAGAGACAGAAATAAAAGTGTTGCTTCTGAGATTCTTCTTTTGTTAAAAAAAAAAAGGAGGAGGGAGACTGGTTTTCTATACCATATATCTTAGGAGCTTTTTCTCTTTAGGAACTTAAATTAGAATGAAAAATCTCAAAAACTTAAAAAAAAAACCCACATCTTTTGGGAACTGAATAAATTTGAAGTTTATCTTTTGTTTTTCTGAATTTACATATGACATTGAGATGACATATAGTGAGAATTTTTGTCTCATCCCATAATAGCCTAAAAGATACCATTGAATACTTGTTGACAGACTGATTCTAGGGATGGAGCAAGGAAACTAGAAGATTAGCCTGCAGCACCTTGTTGTAACAGAAAGGAAAGAGATACTCAAAAAAATAAAAAGATGAGACCGAGGAGCCATGATAACTGTATGTAATGTGGTATCCTGGATGGAATCCTGGAACAGAAAATGAACATTAATGGAAAAACTGATTAATAAAATCGGGGCTTAGTTGATAGTAGTATGCTAATACTGGTTTCTTCATTTTGACAAATGTACCATGGTAAGGTAGGATGTCAACAATAGGGGAAACTGGGTAAAGGCTATAAGATGCTATCTGTACTGCACTGTCATCTTTCAACTTTTTTGTAAATCTAAAACAACTCTAAAATAAAATGTTTACTTAAAAAACCTTGTTTATAATTTTTTGATTATATAGGATCAAATGATGTAAAGAATAAAAACTGCTTTGTATTAGCCAATTTTCTCCAGTGAGCATGTTTTATTTTAATATTGTGATTTTCCCTTCTAAAAATAGAATAATATACTATATTACCAATATTTAGATCTTTAAATTCCCTTGTTTGTAAACAGTAGTTTTATTTATATGTAAGATTTAGTGACCTTTTGAAAGTCATATTAATATCTGAAACTTTTAAAACAACTGAGAGAGGTTAATAAGGTACAAATTAATAGCTGTGTATTTTGAAGGGAAGAAGTTAATAATTTGTCACAGTGATATATAGGATC